AACACACATCTATATATTTTTAATTATTTATTTTTAATTATTTTTTTAATTTTATTTTTTAACGTATTTACATTTTTATTTTTTTTATATTATATATAAATATATATATAACAATAATTATATATATATTTAATCCATATCAGTCTAAGTGTAATTTGATATTAATATATATATATATATATAATTATATATATATTAATAGTAAAATACACCTAGACGGTGTATGTGTGTGTATGTATATGTGTATATATATACTTAGATCATATATAATATATACATATGATCTAAGTATATATAATTATTTTTTTTTACACCATTAACTTATTTTTATTTTATTTTCAGCCAGCAGGGGGACCACCTGTAATTACAGGCAGCCCCCCTGCCGGCAATACAGAAGCCAGCTATACCCGGCCATGTGATTGTGGGGTCCTGCTAGGACCCCACTCTCACATGGCCGGGGGGCTTCAACGAGGACGGATGTGCCGCGGGGGCTCCCTGGGAGTCCCCCCCACCGCGATCGCCGGCGTGGGACCGCCGGCGACCGGGTAAGTTAACAAAAACCGGAGGGCGTACAATTACGCCCGGCGGCGTTTAGAGCCGCCTATTAGAGGGCGTAATTGTACGTCCTGCGGTTTTAAGGGGTTAAGAGGGATGTATGGGAACAAAACTTGTGTGCACTTGCTGACATTAAAGTTAGTTTAGGTAATGCAGACGTTGGTCTCTCTAACACTGTGGCATGTCCCCTTTCTTCTACACTCACTACAGACATCTTTTCTCTGTCTCAGACTATATACCAGGAACTTCTGCCTGCTAGTAAGAAGGTAAAGAGACAAGTGGACCAGCGAGTGCTAGGGGACAGTCCTTAGAAAGAATGGAGTGAGCGCATCATTAGACGCATTTATGTCAAGCTCAAAGTGCTGCCTGCATAGTATGCCCTTAGTTGGACAGCCTGCAGGATTGGCAGGCAGCCTGACATGCATTCATGCCAGGCTGACCTTCCAATTCTTTGGACAAAGATGCCCTTTTTTGGGCATGTTCACCCCTTTTGGCAGGTCTTGTCACGTGATTCGCGCCAGTGGCACACCCTTTTATCCCGCCCATTAACTTCCTGCATTACTGGACACTGCTGTTAGGGGTTATGGATTTACTTGAAAGATGAAAACATAAATTATAGAGAGATTAGCATAGGGTATGTGTTTTCTTATAGCTGCATCCTATGAGTTTCCCTCCAGCACCATCTCCATCAGATACATGACGCTTGGGAGGTATGATTGTTTTAGTGTTTTTGGTCAATAAGATTCTGTAATTAGGCCCATCATAATTGTCAGCACCAGGCCCACTGTGCTCTTAATCCGGCCCTGTGTGCGTGAGTGTGTGTTTGTATGTATCAGTGATTGCATTTGGGAAGAAAGGACCATTTTAATAAAAAAATAATAATAATAATTTTGAAGGAACACTATAGTGTTAGGAATATAAACCTGTATCCAAATACTATAGTGTCTCTGTCCCTAGATTGATTTTTTAACTATAAAAATGATTTTGTAAAAAGGTGGGGGGAGGGAAGGGGGGAGTTTACTTACATTTATTTATGTTTTTCAAGCACCAAGACTCCCTCTGCACTGCTTGCCTCTTTTTTTTTGTGCAATGTCACTGAAGGGGCAAGGCTGGTCCAATCTAATGTTCCTCATACAGGAGCATTGGGGAAATGATGCGCATAAGTGGCAAGCACTATGGACTTCTAACGCTACACATAGTTAAACATGGCATTGTAGTGGAGGCACCATAGTCAGTGTGACAACTATTAGATTCGTGTTTAACCCTTCAAGGTAAGGCAATGTTTTATCTTGTGCAGTTAAACCTACAGGACACTGTGGAGCGAATGGGGCGGCAATATTATTTTGGCCTAGGGCGGCACAAATCCTTGCACCAGCCCTGTATACACATAACTAGCTTTGCAGGGTTAAGGGACCTGGTACAGTGCACCCAGACCACTTCAGTGAGCTGAAGTGGTCTGGGTGCCTCTAGTGTCTCTTTAAGGGATTAGGGAGAAATTCTAGCGAGTGGCAGCACTGAAAGCAATCCAAAGATTCATAGGATTCACAAGATATTATTGTAGATTTACAACAAGTTTTTCATTAGTCATTTCACCTATAATCAGTCTCACACGTGGGAACAGATACCAATATCTGGTCCCAAGAGGCTATTGCCTCATTTAAACAATTAAAAAAAAAATTTTTTTGCCGTTGCTTTGGTTCTAACACACCTGGTTCCGTACAAACCTTTTGTATTGGAGGTTGAAACCTCAGAGACAGGAGTAGGGGACACATGATACCAATCTTCGTCCAGGTGGATTTATTTTCAAAAGGTTGTCTGCTGCAGAAGTCAACTATAATAGAGACAAAAGGGGAAATGGGGGTGTCATGCCAAAAGCATGAGTTGGTGTTTGATGTGTGTTGAGATATGTTGAAAGTTGTTTTTTTGTAAACCTTGGGATGCCGTTTATTGTGGTCTTTGATCTGGCACCAGGCTTAGACCATAAAACATCTAGATAGCCATCACCAGAGCTGGACACAAGGAATTGCATAGAGTGGGCAATAAACTGCCAGACCAACCCCCTCTGATCCCCCCCCCCAGGGGTCTGCCCACTGAGAAACAACTAAGTTTGATATATAATGAGGGTGCCAGACTATCCAGTTGAGTTATTCATTTTTCTTTTGTCAGCAACTTCTAGGAGACCTATACCATCTAAGACTCTCACAAGAATTCTATATGGGGTAACTACATGTAAGGAATTTCTCCTATTTTATTTTATGTACTGTTTTGCAATTTGTTATCTGTATGTCATTTATTTCTGTATTTTGTACTCGGCACTGTGAATCCTTTTTGTCAGATTAAATGTTTACTTAATCAGCTTGTGTCTCTGTTCTCTATGAGCTTCACTCTCCAGAGGAAAGCTCAGGTAAACACGTTACCAAAAGGGTTAACTATATATGTTTTATCAGTAAAAGTAGAACTGTGATACTATAATTCTCCTGTGTGTGGGGTAACCTAAGACGCCCGGGTTTAAAAGTCTTGGTGGTGGCAGTAAAGTGTGTACTAAGGGGTTAGTGTAGAAGGGATTGCAGGGGTTAATTGAGTGGTTGCTGGGACTAGCAACAAGTAACCAGGGGTCTGGTGTCATTAACCCTGTCACTTCCACACTCTCCCCACTGTCTCGGCTGGGCCTATAGCCCACGCACGTGACAGGGGGACACACCCGGAACATGCATTTTACAGGAAAGCCTTATAAAGGCTAAAACTGTATTTTTATGTGTGAGCTGTTCCTTGATCTGTATTATCTATAACTTTGGTCTCTACAGCAGCACCATTCCTGTAAAATGTAAACGCAACTCCCTTTTTGTCTTTACTATGTGAATTTGGAGTCCAGACCAGATTCCTTTTTGCCTGAGTACCTGGCCCGCCCCCCCAGCTTCAAGTGCCCCTTTGGAGGTGACCACAGGAAAGTATAAATTTGAGGAATGTATGGATAGTAATGTCACTTTAATTATAATTTTCATTTGGTATAGAGCAGATATATGTTATGCATTGTGAATATATAAAAAGCCCCATCACTTTGTTTAGATTTGACACACTTTGAATTGTGTTTTTTATCACATCTGTAGAGGACTACAGCACAGAATTCAGGGAGGTGACCCCAGATACAGGTTACAATGAGATTGGTCTCATAGAACAATATTGTCTGTACTATCTGAGCGAATATATATGCAAATAGGGGTAGTTCACCGCCCTCTGTCACACAAAGAACTTAAAGGACCACTCTAGGCACCCAGACCACTTCAGCTTAATGAAGTGGTCTGGGTGCCAGGTCCTTCTAGGGTTAACCCATTTTTTCATAATTATAGCAGTTTCAGAGAAACTGCTATAATTATGAATGGGTTAAGCCTTCCCCCTAATCCTCTAGTGGCTGTCTCATTGACAGCCACTAGAGGCGCTTGCGTGCTTCTCACTGAGATTTTCACAGTGAGAGCACGCCAGCGTCCATAGGAAAGCATTATGAATGCTTTCCTATGTGACCGGCTGAATGCGCGCGCAGCTCTTGCCGCGCGTGCGCATACAGCCGACGGGGAGGAGAAGAGGAGGGTCGGAGGAGGAGAGCTCTCCGCCCAGCGCTGGAAAAAGGTAAGTTTTACCCCTTTTCCCCTTTCCAGAGCCGGGCGGGAGGGGGTCCCTGAGGGTGGGGGCACCCTCAGGGCACTATAGTGCCAGGAAAACGAGTATGTTTTCCTGGCACTATAGTGGTCCTTTAATAAACGTCTCCAAAATTTTGTAATATCACCTGCAAGCAATTAAATCAATACCTACACAATGATTTCATTCAGCAACCATGTCCAAGATTTTGCATTATCATTTGCAAGCAATTAAATCTATACCTACACACTGACTGCAGCCATATCCAAAAATTTGCATTACAATCTGCAAGCTATTAAGTAACTTAACTTCAATCATGACAGAAACTCCATGCTGATTTTTACCTAGCTTCCTCACTATCACTTTTGCAAGTATTAGTAACTATAATATGCACAGTGACTGTTTATTTCTGAATGGCTTGTAACTAATACTTTCATATTGTGCATGGCTATGAATTATTATTATTTTTTTTTTTAATTTGATAATTTCTATTGGTCAGTAAATGCATAACACAATGGCATTAAACAAAGATACATACAAGTCGTTCACATTTCTATGGATGCCGTAGCTGTGTACATATAGGACCTGCATTGCGTCTGGTTGCAGCGGTAGGCACGTATATACATTAAACAATAATCGATATTCTACGCCCTATAGACATTGTTCTGTAGTCAGCCGGCTACTTTGTCTAGTGGGGGTGGTTAATAGGTCCTTGTTGTGCTTCCTATTTCTATATTGCGTTATTTGCATGTACTGTGTCAGGGTGGAGGTCTCTCAGAGGTGGTATTCTCTTGTGCTGTGGGAGGGGTGGTTCACGCTGGAGTCTGGTCAGTGTGCGGTTTTCGTGGGGTCTTGTCTTGTGTAGTCGTGGGCGGGTTCTCTTTGGGAGCGGCTTGCGTTACGGAGCGGGTCAGGAAATCTGTCCACGTAGTATGGGCTTGTTTCAAGTGTTTTTTAGTTCCAAATTGGGTTGCAAATACTGTTTCATAGACCCAATTGAGTGAGACTTGCTGTATAAGGAGTTCCCTGGATGGGATTGCTACCTGTTTCCAATACCTTGCGATAAGTGTCGCTGCTGATATTAATACGTGGTACATGGCTGTCCATGTGGCCTTGGGAGTCTCGTCTGGGGGGATGAATAAAATGCAGAGTTCTAGGGTGAGGGTTACCTGAGTGCGTATGATATTTGATATGACATTTTGTACTTCGTGCCAAAAGGGTCTGATATTGTCACATGTCCACCAAACGTGTGTTATGGTGCCCCTTTGGTGTCCGCACCTCCAGCATTTGTCTGTGGATTGCGGCCAGATGTGGTGGACTCTGGCTGGGACTAGGTACCATCGGTACAGCAGTTTGCGCTGTAGCTCCAGATGAGTGGCACAGGAAGTTGTTGCCTTGTGTGAGGAGTAGGCCTTGTCCCATTTTTCCCTAGTTATGGTCCTTCCCAGTTCCGTATGTCAGGACTGTATATGCGTGTCTGGGTGGGTCTACCGTCTGTAGTAGTAGTCGGTAGTTTATGGATATTAATTTCTTTAGCGGTTTTCTGTGCGTGCACAGGAGTTCGAATTCAGATAGGTGCTCTCGGGTATTAGCGTTGTTGGCGCGGGGTTTATTCTGAGATAGGCATGATTTGATCTGCAGGTAAGGGAAAATCAGTCTGGAGGGGAGGTTGTATTCCCTCTGTATGTCTGGGAATGGGCGGAGTTTACCTCCTTTGTATAGCTGTCCCACTTCAGTTATCCACCCTTGTTGCCATGGTTTTTTGTCCCATGTTGGTATTAGGGTGGCCAGGCTGTCCAGCGGGGTAGCTAGAGGTACTGGGAGGAAATGGACCAGGTGGTGTCTGGAAGCGTCCCAGTGGTGCAGTATGTGCTGTGTTGTGGGTAGTAGGTGTGTGGTGTCCCGTCTATGGGACTTGGGAGTCCAGAACAGTGTTTGCAACGTTGAGGCTGCCGCCCAGTGGTTTTCTATGTGTAGCCACTGTGGTGAAGTTGGTTGTGGTCTCAGTTGCGGCACTATTGTTAGTGCCGCTGCTCTATGGTATGCGGTTATATCAGGGAGACCTAACCCTCCCTGTGTTTGGTGCCTTTGTAAGAGTTTTGTCGCTACTCTTTGCTTCTTATTACTCCATGTGAAGGCTATTAGCTGTTGCGATAGTGATTTTAGGAAGGCACTTGGAGTGGGGATTTGCAGTGTTCTGTATAGATATTGCAGTTTCGGTAATAGGGACATTTTGATGGCAGCTATGCGGCCCACCCAAGATAAGTATTTCCCCTCCCATGACTGTAGTGTGTTTTTTAAAACGTTAGCTAGGGGGATGTAGTTGGTTTTGAACAGTGTGGCGGGGTTTTTTGTCATTTTTACCCCCAGGAAGGTTAGATAGTCATCCCTCCAGTCTAGGGGGAACAAACCTTTAAGGAGAGCCATTTGCTTGTTGGGTATGTTGATCCCCATCGCTTGTGTCTTAGAAACGTTCAGTTTGTAGTAGGATAGGAGGCCATATGTTGTGATGTGTTTCATTAGGTTTGGCAGGGATATTTGGGGTTGCGTTAATGTGAGAAAGACATCATCAGCGAATATACTCAGTTTGTATTCCCGTTGGTTCAAGGGTACTCCGTGTATGGATGCATCCGCTCGTATTCTAGCGGCTAGGGGTTCTAGTGCCAGGACGTAGAGTAGTGGGGATAGGGGGCATCCCTGTCTAGACCCATTAGTGATTGTGAACTTGTCGGAACAGAATCCCGCGTTTAACACTCTTGCTGTTGGGTGGCTGTATAAGGCCTCCACCATATTAATAAAATGGCTAGGGAAGTTCATTCTCATCAGGACTATTTTCAGGAATCCCCAATTTAGTCTGTCGAAGGCCTTCTCTGCATCTAAGGACACGAGAAGGCCTCCCACGTTCGACCTCTGTATAGTGTGTATGAGGTTTAATACTTTTCGGGTATTGTCTGCCCCTTGCCTCCCTGATACGAACCCTACTTGATCGTCGTGTATCAGGGAAGGATGGTGCCTAGTCGCCTGGCGTAGACCTTTGCTAATAATTTGGCGTCTGTGTTGAGTAATGATATAGGTCTAAAGTTGGGGCAGTGAGTTGGGGGTTTACCTGGTTTCGGGAGTGTTTATAATGTGTGCTAACAGCAGCTCCTCGGGAAGCTTTTTCTCCTGGGTGGCTGAGTTGAATAGCTGTGCTAGGGGTTTTGCAAGGGTTGATTTAAATTTTTTGTAATACAGGTTTGTGAACCCGTCTGGGCCCGGGGCTTTGTTAGTTGGAAGGGGTTGTATGGCTTCCTCTACCTCTGTGATTGTGACTGGGTGCTGTAGTGTGGCTGCCTGGTCTGCGGTGAGGGTCTGTAGTGGAGTGTCTTGGAGGTAGGTTATGATTTCCTGGTCATCTGGTACGTGCAGTTGGTTAGAGTGTGCTAGGTTGTATAGTTGGCGGTAGTAGCTTGCGAATGCATTGCTAATATCTATGGGGGATACAACTTTTGTGTTGTTGGCTGTATATACATACGGTATTTTGGCGTTTGCCTCTACTTTCTTCAATCTAGTTGCTAGTATCCTACTGGCTTTGTTGCCCTGGGTTTAATGTGTGGCTTTCAGTTTGCGGAGGTTGTATCCGACTTGTTGCAGGGTGTGTGTTTTAATTTCTTTCGTTCTTTCCCCAATTCTTTGTTGTGTGTCTGCAGTCGGTTGGGTTTTGTTTTTGCATGTGAGGTCTGCCAGCTGTTTGTGCCAGGCTATCCAGTTGGCTCGTCGTGTTTTTTGTGTGTGAGAGGCCTGCTTGATGAGGAGCCCTCTGATTACAGATTTGTGTGCCTGCCATGTAGTGCTTATAGAAGTGTCTTCTGGTTTGTTCAGAGTGAAAAAGTCGTTGATGGCTTTCTTTATGTTGTCCGTAAAGGAGTTGTCTGTTAGTAGGGACTCGTTGAGTCTCCAGGGGCTCTTATGTTTATAGTCATAGCTATCTTTAAGGGTTATGGTTTAAGGAGCGTGGTCTGACCACGAGATGGTGCCTATAGAGCATTCCAGTACTTGGTCTAGATGTCGACCCTCAACATGAAACCTGTCTATTCTCGTGTATGTGTTGTGTGCGGCAGAGAAATATGTGTAGTCCTTTTCCTGTGGGTGTAGGACTCTCCACACATCGTATAGCCCCCGTTCCTCTAGTAGTTTTAGGTGGTTCATGCAGGCTGTTTGTTGTCGGGAACGTGTTGTGTGGGGGATTTGCGTCGTAGTGTCCATGCTAGGATCTAAGATATGGTTGAAATCCCCACACAGAACCAGTATACCCTCTTGGATTGGGCGGAGGAGAGACAGAATTCTGTGTAGGAAGTTCCTTTGGTTTGTGTTTGGGGCATATGCATTGGCAATCATGTATTTGTTGTTATTGATCATGCAAACTAGCATGAGGTAGCGGCCCTCAGGGTCTGTTCGCGAAGAGTGGTATTGGAATGAGACCTTGTTGCTAATCAGTATTGATACGCCCTTAGTTTTTTGTCCTGATGTGGCATGATATTGGTGTGGGAATTGTGACGGCTTGATTTTTGGTGTTGTCTTGAAATGTGTTTCTTGGAGGCACAACACATCTGGTTGTGTCTGTTTAAAGTCCCTGAGTAAGCAGTGTCGTTTATATGGGGTGTTCAGTCTAGGTGGGTTTTATCTCTTTGGGTCTGAGAGTTAGCGGAGGGTGGGTCCTCCCTTAGGCTAGTTGTAAGATACTCCAGACATATTGGTCCCCTTAGGGGGGTCTCCCTGTGGTGTTTGCAAATTAAAGTACCCTCCTCCAGAGAGGTTAGAGAGGGGGGGGGGATGGAGGGGAACCGTGCCGTGAGTGGACGGTTAACAAGAAGAACTGTAATGCAGCCCAGTTAAGGGCTATGTGGCTGTACAGTAGTATCATGTGGGAGCGTGGTACTTGAGAGTTTGAAATAACATAGGTATCCCGGCCTAGTTGTCGCTGTGACCACATACTCGGTGTGAGTGGTGTGTGACCCCGATTTAGCCCGGTGTCTCTAGGCATCTATTGGGGTTTTGTGGGTCGTTTGCGACATATCATAGCCTTTAACCTTCCATGACCTTAACAATATACAACAGAAAATAACCATAACATTAACATTTGGCACTGCTGGATCGGTTCTTCAGCCGGAGTACGTGTGTGTGTGTAAGTCAGCGGAATAGGGAGCGTTTGGGTTCCGCCACCATGGGTGCATAGTGATGTATGCCAACGTGCATGAGTGTGTGAGCAGTGTGTGGTTTGTGTGTGGGACATTACCCCATGAGTCTTACAGCGGTTGGGCTTCTTGTCTCCTGTTGAATCTCTGCACGTGGAGTTGCACCGTTCAAAGTCCATGGTTGGTGCTGTAATCCCAACTTGTTGTGTCAGCTGGAAGTCCGTATGAGGAAGAGTCCGATCAGGCAGTATCTCGTCGGGGGAGGCGGGTGTAGTGAGACAGGAGTAGAGCTTCTCCCAGTTCGGGTGGATCTCTCTCCTGCTCAGGTGCGTGCTTTCTTCCATTCAGGCTGTATTTTGGTGGGCTGTGTCTGGCTGTTTCCGTGTGGTTGCGCTTGGATTCCTCATCATTTCAGGGTTTTCCATCCCTCGTCTGGGGTGGTGATGGTGTGGATTGTCCCATTTCTGTGCACCAGTAGGCGAACCGGGTGGCCCCAGCGATATTGTACCTCTTGTTGTCGCAGGGCATCCGTGACCTATTTGAATTCCCTCCTCTTCTGCAGGGTGAGAGCGGAGAGGTCTCTATAGATTTGTATTGCTTGATATTTCTCGGGGAGGTGTTTGTTTTGTCTGGAAGCTTTTATCAGAGCCTCTTTAGCATGGAAATAGTGCATGTGGGTGAGGATGTCTCTGGGAGTCTCCTCCGGTAAAAATTTCGGTTTAGCGACTCTGTGTGCTCTGTCCATGAGCAGGACATCCGCGGGTAGGTCAGGAGCCAGGATCTTGAAGTACTCAGTGAGATACGCTACCATTTCTGGTTGTTTCACAGATTCAGGTATGCCACGTAGGCGAATGTTCTGCCTCCTGGATCTGTCTTCGAGATCCATAAGTTTTGTTTGGCAAGATTCCAGCGTGTGTTCTAATCTTTGGACGTGATCCGCCATGTCATTATGGGCCTCCGCATATTCTCCCATGCGGTGTTCCATGCGGGCTGTCCGTTCACCGAGCTCCTGGACATCTTTCCGTAGGTCAGCTATTGATCTTTTGAAATTTTTAATCAGTTTGGATGTCATCTCCTCCAGGCATGTTTGTAGAATTGCCTGTGTTACCGGCTGGTCTCTGGAGCCTGGGGAGTCCTGCAGTGGAATTGTGTCATCGCCATCTTGCTCCTCGTCTAGAGGGGTCTGGGTTTTGGGTGCCTGATTGCAGGCCGCAAAGAACCCGGATTTGTCCCCCTACTCGCAGGGTTTCTTCCCCTGTTGGGCCATCGTGGGGTTATGTTTGTGGGGGTTTACTGGTCAGGATCGCTGTTAGTCGCTGATTTAGGCCAGTTAAGGACGGAGCTTTACTCACATGCGACCGTCCGCGCCATTAGTCAGGCCACGCCCCCGAATTATTATTTTTTAGGGAGATAGAATTGAGTTCCCAACATGTTTAAGTTTAACACCAAATGCTATACATCCCATCCATCTATCTCCACTGCCTACTGTTTCTCTCTAATTCTCTACAGAAAGGCATGTTTGTGGTTTCTCAACTCCCCTTGCATTCCTTTTTTTCTCCAGATCCATACCTCCCACTGAAAACCAGAAGAGCAGAGCTATATCATAAAAACAGTAATGAATGCTACTGCCAGGCATTTCCTTACCTCGTTATATTGTCATGCCTTAGATTCCTATAGATTATGCCAGTGGTTCCCAAACTTTTTAGGTTCAAGGCGCCCTTAATATTTCAGTATTTTTCCAAGGCACCCCAAGTCAAAATTTTCAGGTTGTATATCTGTACAGTGATGCAGCATTTACTGGCGCTATAGTGTAACGTACAGTGTTGGTGTTTGAAGGGGTGCTTGTATGCATTTATTGTGTTTTAATACAGAGGTGTGTGTGTATGCGATGTTTGCGTTTGATTGCAGGGGTGTGTCTGAATGTAATATTTGTGTTAGATTGCAGGAGTGTGCTTGTATGTTGTGCTTGTGTTTGACTGATTGGATGTATGCGCATACACTACTACATACATACATACTTACACAGATATTCATGCACATAAACACACAAATGAATATAAATACACCGACACATACACATAAATTCATATAGACACTGACACACACACATAGATACACATAGGTACACACCGACATACACACATGCACCCTGACACACACAAACATTGATACATGCCCACACCATGACACAGATACATACACTGACATAAAAACACATACCATGAAACACAGAGGCACATACACAGATGTGTGCACACACAGAGATACAGAAGCTCACTGACATATATATATATATATATATATATATATATATAAACACACACTCATACTCACACACATACACTCATACACTCATAACACACACACTCATACATACACTCATACACACACAAACACTCATACACATACTTATAGTTACATAGCTGAAAAGAGACTTGCGTCCATGAAGTTCAGCCTTCCTCACATTTGCTTTTTGCTGTTGATCCAGAAGGAGGCAAAAAAAAAACAGTTTGAAGCACTTCCAATTTTGCAACAAACTAGGGGAAAAAAATTCCTTCTTTCCCCTAGAATGGCAGTCAGATTTATGCTTGGATCAGTGTAGTTATTACCATACATTGAAAAATTATAACCCTGAATATTCTGTTTTTGCAAGTATGCATCTAGTAGCTGTTTGAACATCTGTATGGACTCTGATAAAACCACTTCTTCAGGCAGAGAATTCCACATCCTTATTGTTCTTACAGTAAAAAAACCTTTTTTTCTTTCTTCCAGTCTAAACGCATGACCTCATGTCCTATGTAAAGTCCGGTTTGTGAATAGATTTCCACACAATGGTGTGTATTGGCCCCGAATATATTTGTATAATGTTATCATATCCCCTCTCAGGCAACGTTTTTCTAAACAAAAGAGGTTTACATTTCTTAACCTTTCTTCATAGCTGATATGTTCCATTCCTTTTATTAATTTTGTAGCCCGCCTCTGCACTTTTTCTAGTGCCATTATATCCTTCTTTAAAACAGGTGCCCAAAATTGCACAGCGTATTCAATATGTGGTCTTACCAGTGATTTATAAAGAGGCAAAATGATATTCTCATCTTGAGAATGAATGCCCTTTTTCATGCATGACAATATCTTACAGGCCTTAGCTACTGCTGATTGACATTGCACATTGTTGCATAGTTTGTTTTCTATAACAATTCCCAAGTCTTTTTTGTGTGTTGTTATCCCTAATTTGCTTCCATTAAGGGTATACGTTGCTTATGCATTCCTTTTGCCGAAGTGCATAACTTTGCATTTTTCAATATTATATTTCATCTGCCATTTGAGTGCCCAGTCCCCCAGTCTATCTAAATCCCTCTGCAGCAAAGTCATATCTCACACTCATACACATACACACACTCACACTCATGCACCACACTTAAACACACATGCACACACACACATGCACACAATCATGCACACACACATGCGCACCCACACACGCGCATACACATACACACGCGCATACACACGCGCATACACATACACACGCGCATACACATACACACACGCATACACATACACACACACACTAAAACTCATACAAACAAACACACATAAGTGATTTTTTTTTTTATATCTCCAGCAACCCTCCTGATAGCTTACCTTGTGTGTCCAGGAGAGTGGCTTGGAGTCCTCGTCCTGCTGGGGGGAGTGAAGGGGTCTGGAGCTCTTCGTGCTCCTCTCCCTTCACGTTGCCTCATCTCCCTTTCGCGCCGTCTCTGTGCATGACGCTGGAAGGAAGTGACAGGCTGTCACTTCCTCCCAGCCGGCCAACATTACAGGGGCCTGGTCGTCGTCTTAAAGGACCGTGGCACTCGGCTGGGTCCCTGATGAGCAGCAATGTTTCCCGATGCTATAATCATAGCATCGGGGAAACATTCCAGGGCGCCGCGGCACACAGTTTGGGAATTGTTGGATTATACAGTTAAATTAGAAAATCTTATTACTCATTTACAACTATCACAATAATTGTATCCCAATGCATATTTCCTCATTAATCTGCAGCAAGTGCCTCTGATATGCCAATCACCAGTATCTGTTCTTTGAACTTTTGTCTACTGGTGTTTTATTGGGATGATTTATTTATTTACTATACTATTCCCCCACCCTATTTTCTTTCTCTTATTATTCAGTCCTTTAAGACGTCCTTTTAAAAACCCTTCATACAGTACATATAGTGATATACACATATTGATAGTGACTGTGACTGAAGGATAAGTATTAGTTTGTGATATTTCAGTTAAACTTCAAATAATAACAACTATGTGTGAGATTTCTCTCGATAATACAAAGAATAGCCCTTTCATGGTCCAGCAAATGCTTAAATTATATGTTATACTGGGTTGATCTAGCCAATTTCATTCAA